CAGTGTCTAGTAGGATTATTTTTTTTTACCAAGTCTTTCAGAAGGCACATTATTTCTACCCCCTCATCACACAATTCTGCAGAATACCGTATACTACAACAAAGGGAATGAGGTCTTCGAAGACAACATGCAAGCAGTCATCATTCCCCCTAGATTTAAAGGTAATTATCAAATATTTGGATTACCCAGATAGCGGAGGGAGTATTTCAGCTCTTTGGATATTTTCATTTGCATCCTGATCACACGCCAGGTGTCTTCAATGTCACATTCATTAAATCCCATATTCTGCCTTTCAAGCAGAGTCCTGAACAACAGGTGATGTGGGACTGCACTCTGGCAGGAGTGGTTTCCAGGTAGGGCAGCTACTGTTCAAGCCCTACTCAGCTCTTGGACAGTGTTTATAAGGAATGGCAAGTCCTCACTCTTCCCATTTTCAGGGATGCTGGCTAGCATATGTTTTCAGGATCACAGATATTTTTAGGCTAAAGAGAACATTTTTGCTAAAGAGGGACGCCCCAGGTGAGAGCAGACATTTTATATTCTGCCTGCCGTTTTTTGCACTGGTGCAAGATGAAAGACTAGCCTGTAGAGGATTATTGATGTCTGGATTGAGAACTTTTTATTTAATATCATACTTTCCCATATGGGGGAAAAAAGAAACCAATGAAGGACTGAAAGACCCAAATCATTCAGTCTAAATATCTGGGGCTTTCTGATCTGCTAGCCCCCTGGAGCGCAGATTTTTCTGTGCTTTTGTTCTTACAATACCTGTGACTATCCTCTGTAGAAAGTCACCACATCTCTTCTACTCTTCAGGACTTCTGTGTCTTTCCCTGGCAAATGCAGCTCTCTCAGGAGTCACACTCTAATTTGCTGTGTCTACAGTGTGGGACCCAGCTGCTCTGTGGTGGGCTATGGTGGAAACCAGGCACCCTTTGGAGCAATCCACTTACCCATGCCTCTGCATTTGCTTCCAAAAGAAGCCAGGGTACATGAGAGAATGACACAAACCCAACTTCTGTCTCACCTTACAGCCAGGACATGGCTAAGGTATACATCCATGCGCGAAAACTGCCATGTACAACTGTCCACAGCCATCAGTGGTGATGTCAGAGGTCTGCCTATGGAAATGGATAGTCTGCGTGAGAAAATTGTTATTTGCCATCCTCTGTTTTATCCAGTAATTTCTCCTGAAAATTTTCCAGAAAGACTCTGTCTTTCACTCCCTGGTTCAAAAGCAGAGAGCCCTGAATCAAAATGCTGGTCCCAAGGGGTGCCTGCAGAACCATAGGATTTGTCAAGCCCATGAGGGAAATCCGTATCTTTTCATCATCTGCTGATGGATGAAAGTGTCATTTGCAGGAAAAATCTCCAAGCTGGCAATGGTGAAAGCATCACACAGAATGGTTGCATTCGTGCTGAGCAGCTCTGGAGCTGTCATTGTCAAATTGAGTCTCCATGTTCTCCAAAACCTGACATAATATGTGAATAATGAATAAGGCCAGGTTCCTAATGATCTCCAGGTGTGATTTAACCTGGATTAAGCCTTCCACATACTGTATTTAGCTCTTGCAAGGTCATTTTGCTCCTAATAAGTCCTGGTTTGCACATGCTCGGCTATGTTCTTGTCCTTTAATGCAGTCACTGACAGATGGTAGCAAAATAATTCCTTTTATAATGAAACCTGCTGAAGTAGACTGCTTAGGGCCTCAGAAAATATAATTTGCCAAATAAAGGATGGTCTCAAGGAAAGAAAGGAAATACTGTAATGTAGTATATATTAAATAATTTTCCTCAGGCATCTGGTGATCAGTACCTTTTTCTCATGTCAGAAAGGTGACCTAACTGTTTGTTTCCAATTAGTTTTAGCAATTCCTCATTCACCTTTGTAATACTAAAAGTCTTGTTTCTGTGTTTCGGCATAAGTAGTGCCTGCAAAAATGTGCAAATTAACCGCATGAGGACTTGTTGTAGAGACATCCTTCGTAGATACCAGATTTGTATCTGCAGTGTGTAGTCAGATACTTCAGGTTTTTACCTACACTATAATTAGCCTAGTTTCTAGGAGAATTTCACACTCATTTTTTAGACACAATTCTGCCCATTTCTCTTAAATCACTATTAATTCCTAGCAGCATTGTTACTGAATCCTTTATGTGACCATGCACACCCTGGATTTTCTCATGGCCTTTGCAAGCTTATCTTGGCAGCTGAATGCATCAGAGTTGTCTAATTTATTGTATTCTGTGAGGTGGGTAGTTTTGGATGGCAGAAATCTCTCCTGTTCAAACCTCCAAGAACCTGCAACCTTCTTCTAAAGCCAGCTGTTTTCTGAGTAGCTGTCTTTGCCACTCATGGTTTCCTCAGGCTCTCCCATTACCAATGTTTTACTCTTTTATCCTCTGTACCAACACACAGTTAAGGAAGTCTAGATGTGACTTCCTTTAGCATCCGCTTACACTGTCCTATAAATCATACAAAATGTTCTGCACAGGCTCAAATCTAGGCTTTAGATGAGAATCCATCTGTTCGTTGCTCCCAATGGGAATATAGTTTCTTTCTCTGCATCACTGCTTGACAAAACTTCTAATCCCATCTGAAACTGCTAGTGTGTTGTGTTTGGGGCCTGTTACATCAAATACACATCTCTGCTCTTTCCTTCCCCTCTCAGGAATCATTATTTTTAGACTGCTTTTCTATCTCTGATGGAGTCAAAAGTTACATCTTAACCTATACAAGCTCTGGTGGCATATGCTGCTCTGCTCTTCTGCTGCAGTATCATGAAATCTGTCATCCAGCTCAGTTCTTCTGATCTGTAACCCCCTTGTCATTACCGCCCTTATGGAGAAATTCGTGCGAACACTTCTCATTTCTGTTTCTTGCCTGGGTTGTCTTTCACTCTTCTTGGATGTCATGGCCAGCAGTAGATGAGTGTTTGCATTAGCCTTTGGCTCTATCAAGAGAGGAATCAACAGTACTGGACAACTTAGAGCATACTCCTGCTGCTATAATGTGCCCTGTGCATTACAACACTACAGGAGTGTTAGTGTCAAGGTGATGTGGCTGCCGGAGCGCTCAGCCACACCATTATTTTAAGAGGGGATCACTGCAATTCTTGAACTGCAGGCTCCCTCCTACCTGTAGTGTCTGAATCTGTGCTATACGTTTCCCTTTGCAGCCAAAGAGGAACATAAAATAGGCACCTCCAAGACCCGATTTCTTACAATCTAAAGTAAATAACTAAAATACATGACTAAAAAGGCAGCAAAAGCTGACTAGCTTGTACACAACTACACATACCTGGATCTCTGGCCAGGAGACATGCCTTGGTTGGCATGCAGCAACTGCAGCAAACCACAAGTAACTCAACGCATCTCACTCCTCCTTCACTGTGAGCTAAGGTCTGTCAGAGCCCCTGGTTGCCGGAGGCTAAGGATATGCATATGCACGTGCGTCACTCCAATGCACATGCAGTTTCTTAGCTGACACACGGCAACTTGTTCCTCTTCTGAGGGAACATTTGAACCCATGATGCATCTGAGCCATCAGCCACTGCGAATCAGGCAGCTGCTCCTTGGAGCCAGCCTATAAAGGGCACAAAGTACATCACTGAGGGGTTTTTGTTGTGGGTTTTGGGTTTTTTTTTAAATTGAGAATGAGGAAGTGTCTTACTCTTTTTACCTGTCTCACAGATTGTCAAGTCCTTAGTCATCTACAGAGAGTCACATTTGACATATTTTGGAGGTTTTGCCTTTTTTTAGCATGGATTGTTCACACCTTTAGAAATGCCCTGGAGCAACCCAAGCCCAGTGTCTCTCTTTTATTGCCAAAAATACTTGCCAAGAATTTTGGAGCAAGGCACCGCTCTGAGTGTATGTTCTAGATGGGCCACATCATTACACCAAACTGTGCAAATTTGTGTGTATTTAAGGCTGTCCAGTCCCATGCAGCCTCCAGCTGCTTGCCTTGGCTCCCCCAACCAGAACAAGAGCACCATTCCTACACAATCCCACCTCACACCACCAGATCTCCAGCCCTATGCTCTCTGCCTCCGAGGTTTTGCATGGAACTGCTGAGCATTTCACAGAGCAGATGCAGCAGTGTGAGTCACTGCCTCACCAAGGAATGAGTTACTGCATATCTGTTGCTCCATGGAAACAGGACATGTATATGCTTCAATATTGTGCAATGCACTTTGAGGCCACTTACGTGCCTCTGAAATAGAGATAATTTGTTTACTTCACATATGCCCAGGAGAAGAGCAATTTGTGTCACACAACTGCCCGGCTACTTCTGATGGAGCATCTAACGTGATAGCTTGACTGAGATTTCGATGGTTCAGGCCACCTGGTTGCAGAAAGCAGAGCTCAAAGCAGGAGCCTTGACCTGTTTGCCTGTGAGGCTGGCTCTCTTTCAGTCCTCAAGACACGGTAACTTTATGCAAACCAGCTGGTAGGAATGGTCCCTGAAACATGCTGACCCCCCAAAACATGCCTGAGAATTGTTTGAGACGGGGGCCAACACCATGCCAGGCACTAGTCAAAGAGTATAATAGGGTAAATGATCGTGCTTTCGAAGCTAGAAACATTGCTAGTGACTGTCAAATTTGCTCCTATAGCTGTAGCTGAATGTTTCCATCCATGTTCCCTAGAGGTGGTCTTTGTTTACAGCTTAAATAGCTAGAAAATGTGAGTTTTCTGACCATCCCCACACTTTATGGCACATTTTTCAAGCTGTTATAATGAAGAAGCACTAGCAGCAAAGTTATTACTTACTCCACAAGCAAAATTTCTCTTCTTGGCAGCTCTCAGCATAAAAGTACTTCAAAAAGTGTCATAATATCCTGCAAATAAATCAATTATTTATAATTGTCTTGTCTGTAGATGTGAATTAAAGTAATGATCTTTTTTATAGAGTTGAAAGGAAGCAGAGAAGTTTAAATGAAGTAAATGAAATCTACATGACCACCTTTTGTGTTGGTTTTTTTTTTAACTTTATAGGAAATCAATGTATTGACAGTAGCATTGGTCAACCAAGACAGAGAAAAAAATTCAGAGAAACGAAGCCCGGGTCTAAAATCAGAGAAAGAGGCACTATTAATAGGTAAGATAACCCCAAAGAAAATTTTCGAGAACAAAATGCCTTTTAACAAGTTCTTGTTTTGCATATATGTTTACACGCATCTTTGCGCTAATGAAAGTAAAAAAGAAGATATTTTTTGGTTTTTATCTGTATTCATAATGGCTTTTAGTAAGAGAAATCTCAAAATACAAGTGAACTTTTTCTTTCTGAGAAGTTCTGCAGATTTTAATGAAAGAATTTCAGATATGAAGAGAATTGCAAGATCCGCACTTAGACCTGTAGCTTGAATGTATAAAGACTTTACTTACATCAAGATTTAGCAGGCTAGAACTGTGTAACTTGTTATCTAATTATTAGACAAAACGGTGAAGGAGAAGGGGATGGAAATAATATTAGCAAACTACCAAGCAAAAAATATGTATATTGGATGCATTAAGCAAGTCGGATTTATGCTTTTGACATTAGGTGAGGGAATTAGCCATATGAATATTTATAAAGAATACCACAAGGACTGTCATATCCTTTACCTCGAATAAAATCTTTAAAATAAACTTTTATTTTAAAGGCCAGCTAACTGGTACCTAGCATTTAGCCACATAGGAATGCTGGCTGTACCTATGATACCCTTGGAGGGAACATGCTCCATTTTATCCGTGCGTGTTTTGCATTTGGATTCAGTAGGGCAGTTTTTCATGGAGCCTAAAGGCCCAGGGTCCAAAGTGCTCCCTTTGGCATGGTTGCCATTCACAGAAACGCTGACCTGAAAGACCAGGTTTCATTTCTTTGGTTTGGTCTTTTCACAAAATCAGTGGTATCCCAGTAGGAGATAGTTCCAAAACTACCTTAATTTGTTTAAATGCAACTCATTTGCATCTGTTAAGCACCAGGAAAGTTGCTGGTTTATTGCTGGGGCAGGGATTCAGACAGTTGAGAACGAAAAAGTCTTTTAAAAGTGAAGAATGTATTTAAATGTTTAAAGAGCTTAGTGTGCAAACTTCCTGTGACTGGTGAGATATGGAACAGTGGGATGCTCAGAAATGTATGAATTGATTTAATTTTGCTTGTTATAATAAAATTTGGAATTTTTAATTGCAATAGACAGTATTTGATCTGTTCAAAGACAACTTCTGTGAGAAGGGCAGCAAGGATGGGATTTTAAGAACAGAATAATGAACTTTTTTTTCTAGGTCACTCATTATTTGACTGTAACAAGAGGTGGCAGTGTCCCAAAGTGGGTCCCATCCACCAGCTGTTCAGTGGCACACTCAGATAAACAATGTAATCTCAGTCCAGATATTACTGGTCATAATACCCCCACAGCTGGCTCGTTGTTACAGTTCAAAGGCAAAAGATTGCTCAAGATGGATTTCATGTTCTCTCTTCCTCTGAGGTGTGTTCAGTTACGACAAGGGAAAAATGGGCCTTGCCTCCATCCGTTCACTAAGTTTGTCTATATTCTTCAACACTCAATATTTTACTAGAGGAAAATGGCATAAAAGAAAAAAAATTACTAAAAAGTTATCATGGAACTCCAGTCAATAGCTACAAAATATTTTCAAATTGCTTCTTATTTACATTACCATTTACAAGACCTAGCTTTGAACATCCTGAATTGAAAAGCCTTATGAACACACATGACAAACACAATGCCACTGGTGAAATGTGATTTGAATACAAATCGGATTTCTAGTCAACCCATCCAAGTGTAATGGTCTTGGCTGTTGCTTCAAGAGCTCTTGTGTGTGTGGTGTGTGCTTATGGTCACGCACAGCCCCAAGAAGGCAACTGCTGCTTGGACTCGCCATAGTATGACATTAAATACTTGCCCCTCCCTTTGCTGGATCAGAAGTCTGTAAATGCTGTTGGAAAAATGAGGGAGGAAAAGAGGTGTTCTTTGCAAAGCCAGTCTAAAAATGAGTTAAATTTTATTTATCATTTCAACCATGGCCAGTATTTGGGGAAAAATGAAATCCAAGATTATCCTAATTCATTCAGCATCAAGAAAGCAGTATGGCCTGCAGTACACAAGATACAGTGACCCATTTTTGTCATTTGTAAGCATTTTTAATCCTGGTGTTTATGCTTTAAATATAAGGAACTTCCCCTAGGGTGGTTCAGCTAAGAAACCCATCCAAACAGAGTTGGAAATATTTGCTCTGATTCTTACAGTTCGACTCTCCCCAAACAGTAAGTAACACACATGCCATTTTGTATTTTCGCTGTTTGTTTAGAAGAAGAGCAATTGGATAGCGCTTTTAATAGCAATTCTGATACCCCAAATCTCATCTTCTCTGGTCGTCATTATTATGCTGTCACTTGGTTTTCACTACAGAAAAAGATCTCTAGACTCAGATCCTGACTCCTCCTAAGCCACTTTTATTCCTATACGTTTTACAACGACCCTGTAAATAACCACGAAGATAGACAGACCTGGCTCTCTTTTAACAGAAAGTAAATTAGTAAATATGTCATAAAGGATTTGTGTTTTCTTCAGCAGCAGTTAAGGGTAATATGGATTAAACGCTTTTCATAACCAGCATCAGTGTAATTATTAGAAAAATTTGAGGGAGTGAGGTTTCTGACACAATTATATGAAACGTTTTCACAACAGAGCATCCAGTGAAGGAGAAAAAAGCAATAATTTTACCATTACAATATCCACAATTTTATATGGGTAAATCAAGCATAAAATTGGTAGTTGAAATGCTTCCAGCAAGTCTTTGTTTAGAAATTCCTTTATTCATCAGTATATTATCTTGGTCACTTACTTGCTAACTGCTGTCATTCCTGAGGATGAGCTATTGTGTTTGCCATGTTATTATGACTGTATTAAAAATGTGCCATTTTGTTATGTTTATTGGGTTGTGTAAGAAAAATAAGAATCATAATTCATACTGAAAAACCTGCAAGAACAGACTATTCGGGATTATTTTGCTTGTTTTAATGATATATTGTCTGAGGTAATTTCAATACTTTGTTTGCATTTGTTTTTAATGCAGGTATCATATCCACATTTCTTCACGTCCACCCTTTTGGAGCCAATATAGAATATCTTTGGTCTTATATGCAGCAGTTGGACTCTAGGGTAAAAAAATTTAATCAAAATCTGTTTTCTCTACAGAAATATTGTATTATTCTTTACTGCAGGTTAAACTCTTCGTGCGTTTCTATTAGGAAGATAATGGGATATGGGGCTTGGGGGTTTGCAGTCTTTATTCATTCGCAAATTACAGTGCACGTGCTTGTGTTGAGGTCTTTGCCTCGCCCTGCTTAGCTATTCTTCGTGGCAAAGAAGAGCAGAGCTTTAAATGGCAAAGACTAGCAGCTGATTTTATGATACATGATCCTGAAATACAGGTGAGGAGAAAGAAAGCAGAACAAGAGGCAGGTGTAGCCGTGGCCATCAAACTGTGCAGAGTTTTAGGAGATGATTCCTTATTCTTCTAAAAGATGTTAGTCATGGGTCACTTTGACAATGAACTTTCATGAGCACATAAACGGATCATTGAAGGATGCCCTTGTCTCCACTTGGAAGCGGAGAGGGCCTCATAAAGGGATTGGCTGACCCTATTGCTAAATTCAGAGTTGTGGCCAACACCAACGTGAGGCTAACACATTACAGTACGCAAAGTGGTTTTTAAAGCATCAGTTTGTACAGTCCATAGTCAATACAAACCTGTAGGATGAGGTTCTTTGACTTACTTTTAAATATATGGTGTAAAATGAGATTAAATAAAGCCCCAAAGGGGCCTATTCCTCTCCACTGAATATTAAGCAAGTCAAGGGTGAGCAGCTCAGCAGTGAAATAATCATCTTTGATTAGGTGAATGCTACTGTAAGTGCTGAACAACGGCTCTGCAGGATGCTCAACTGCATGAGATACTTAGCAGATGCAGGAGTCACCCTGGGATTAGCCACAGCTCTGATCTGCACCTGCCAATACTTCCTCTGGACATGGGGATGATGGTGCTTGCCTAGATCTTCTTGCAACACGGAGTCAGGATGTAGCTATGATGTGCACCTGGACTCGGAATGTGAGTGGCACTTCTTGTGTGGTGGTTGTTAGACTCCTTGGATGCTGGCAATATTTTGTTCCTGAATACTCCCTTCAGCCATGCCACCCATAGACAAGATCACCTTCCAACTGCTTTGATGGGCTGCTTCATGTCTTTGGAGGATCCTTCCTCTGCTTCTGTGAAAAAGTGTATAGCTACAAACAGAGAAGATACTGAGCTAGAAGCCCACTGGAAATAAGACAGGTCGCGTGGCTGAGCGAGTAAGAATCATGAAGTTCTTAGGCACCATTTTCAGGCCGTGGCAGCTCAGATTTGCTAGTACTTTACAGACCACTGCTACTCACATTGAAAAGGGATGAGGATGGTAGAAAGAGATGAGAAACTGGTGAATTTCGATTTTTAAAAAAAATCCAATTTTATAAAAAAAGTCTGATTTTATCAAGACCTGATACATCCAGAGCTTCACACCTGCAGCCATTCCTCTTCTGCTTCTCTATTCCCTGCCTCTGCCATTTGTACACCTTCCTTCATCTTGTCCCCAGTTCCAGCAGCACCCAGTCTGCCCAATCTCCTCAGCCATCTTTCAAGTCCTTCCTTAACACACAGCATTTGGCTAAGTTTCAACAGCTTTTTCCCCTGGCTGACCCCTCCAGCTCTGGGTCTCTTGCGTGATCAACAGCAATCATTGAATATGCTGGCTCCTTGGGCTCCAGCCCTGCTGCTCATTGCTTCTGCCCACTGAGCTCTGCAACTTTCTCCCCCTTCACCACTGTGGTCTCTTCTTGTACATGTCTGTAAGCTCTGTCCTGGAATTTCTGCTCACGAGTAACGTGTTGGCTTCTGTGAGGCTGCCAGGATCAAACTCTTAACTTGCAAACACAGCATTCATGGAATGAGCATTGTCTCCATCTCTCCAAGTGCCAACGTACCAGCTCCTGCAGCTACCACTGGACCTACCTGCTGCATAATAATTTTTTTTGCAAAATTTGACCTCACTGGTTTATTTTGGAAGCAACTGCTTGTAGCAACAAATTACTTTTTAATAGCACAATCCAGAGATGCAATCCCAGAGATGAATTTCAATTACTTTTCATAGTTGGCCTGTCATTCCTTACCTGAACAGGAATGATAAGGTCAACAAACCTGTATAGACTGAAGGCTCAGTGTAGAGCTCAGATACGTTACCCAAAGGTAACCAGCTATCCGTTACTGCCATGAGAGTATGCAAAAGATGAACCTGATTACTTTGGGGCTTTAGACTGCCTCCAACTCTGATTTTCGGTGCCACCTTTAACAAATCATTTAATCTTTCTGCTGCACTAACCTCTTCAGGAAAATAAGAGGTGATAGATTTTTTCTCTCCTCCCTTGGGTGGAATGAGGTATAATTAGCATATTTTATGTTTGTATGTTTTTAAAAGAAAACTTTTCACCATGGAAGGTTCCTACTAATATGAATAAGCAAAAACATCATCATTGCCAGAGAAGTCTATCAAACCATGTGGATAACAGGCAGCACCCATAGGTTTCTTTAGTGTTCCTTCCATGACCATCACTTTAGAAGAAGTGAGAGTCGGACAAAATGGTTCATTTTCCATATCTGTTCATTTCTTGACTTCCTTACTGATTATACCAGGAAGATTGCCCTTGTGAAAGCCTTTTCTGCACTAAGAGCGTCTTTCCCATTAGGAGGATGACCAGTCATTAAGGTCAAAAACATCTGGAGCAGTGCCAAATCAGGAACTTTACTACTTAGTTATCTGGGGCTGCTGAACTGGGCCAAACTGGGAGAAGACGGCTCCACGGATAGTCAGTCTTAAGTAACAAAAGTGTGTTGATTAACAATAAAATCCCTGTGTTAGCTTTTTTGCAAGAGAAAAACTGATGGAGCTGGAGGACGATTCAAGAGCTCATGGGATGAGAAGGAAAAGTAAGGTCCCATTTGCTTCCTCCTCCTCACAAGTATACCTGCAACTGTAGTTCTTAGATGGACTTCATAGTACAGTGTGGCAGTGGCCCAGACATAGTAGTTATTATTTTACAGTGGGATGCCACTTACAAAACCAGATCTATTCCTGCAAGAAATCTGCATTTGCTTTGCAATCTGGAAATTCATGTCAAGCTAAGGTTAAAAAAAAAAAAAAAGATAATGGTTGATTGTTTTCGTCTGGCCTGGATTTATTAGCCCCCCTCTTATTTCTGTTCATATTCCTTTTTCCAATCTACAGGGCAGCTTTCTCACTTTAATTTTGCCTTTATTTCTTTCTCAGATCTCTGCAAATGAGATAGAAATGCTTTTGATGAGACTGCCACGCATGTTTAAACAAGAATTCACTGGTGTAGGAGCAACATTGGAAAAGAGGTGGAAGTTTTGTGCCTTTGAAGGAATTAAAACTATCTGACTGTGACTAGTAATGAAGCTATGCAGAAGAAAAATTCCTAGAGCATGGCAGGGTTATAAAGTATTAAAGTAAGAAATTTGGGTTTGGGCACATAGTAGTATGTTTTCAAAGTTATCCAAGCCTAATTTTAGTTACATTTGTGATGTTCTCTTGTGAGTGGAAATGTAGTTGTGCACCAGTTCCTAAAATAAAATAAAATTTAAAAAAAAAAAATTCAAAATGTGACAGATCTGTTTCCTATGAAAACTGAAGAAAGATACCACAGTCATAACGATTTCAAAATACTACATGTCCTACATCTAAGAAAAGCTCATTGAGCAAACAGTAAAGGAGAAAGATTGCCCGGTTATGGTCGCTAAGCTATAGCGATGTATGTGTAATATGTAGTAGAACTCATTAAGTTTCGTTATTGAAAGTTTTTTCTGTTTAGTAAGAAAACTGAGTAATTTTACAGTGAGGAAAAGCATACCAAAAGAAAACTTGAAGATGTATCTGAAGTTATTGTATTTTGTAAATTAAGTTATATGCTGTACCAGGGATTTTTGCCTTATTGAAAGAGGCCTGAAAATGTGATTGGAGTCCTCAAGAATGCTTTATCAAGAATATTATTTTTCTAATGTAACTATTCTCCATTACAAGTTCTTTTAACATGGATTGCATATCAATTTTCATAAACATGTAAATAAGGAGGAAACCAGTGTTACTGTATTGTATTTGGTATGTAACATTCAGGTTTATGCATCAAAATAAATATTCAGTTGCATTACTGTTACAAATTTTATAGCAGATATATTAATTTTTATCAATAAATATGACTTCTACCATATTGTTTGTACAAGTTTTTCTTGTGATGTTTTTGAAATTTTATCAATCCAGCAAGAGTCTCCTGGCACTTACCTTTTTCCTACCTAAACTATTAATTGCAGATAACTTGGTTAAATTAATTAGGAATCAAAGAACAGCTTGCAATATTATCTACAGTTAAGATAATTAAAAATATTGGTAGAGGAAGTACCAGCATGGGCCTTTGTTTAGCTGAACCATTTTAATTTGTTTTTTCAGGTGAGCAGCTGGGTTAAAAATGAACACCTTTGAATTTCTCATTTTCAGTGTTGTGTTGGGTAGTCGCGAGGCATCCAATTAGTTACTCCTTCTAACTCCCAGCTAACGCTTCTGGCGTTTGGTCAGCCAAGGAAAGGAATAACTCACTTTTGGTGAGGTCCCTTAAGTAGGGACATTGATATAAATTATCATTTAGGATTTACTGTCGAACACACAGTACTCCAGCACTCCTGTAAGAGCCAGCGAAAGCTGAAGAAGTGTGTGCATCACCCACGCCAGGAGACTATGGAAGGAATTGCTCCTCCCAGAGCCCTGCTTTGAAGAACTGCATCAGTACAGCATTAAGCATGGCTCTGGATAAGAAACAGCAGCCCCCTCCAAGTTATACCTCTATGTAGGCAGAGGAGCCAGCCACAAGAAAGCTGGCCCTATTATGTGGGGCACCAACAGCAGGAAATAGGCAAATTGTGACAGAATCAGGGAGTATCCAGATACATGTCAGATACAGTGATGTTTCACTCAGGTTCTTCAATAAACAGCAATTAGTGTCAAATGCAATTAGTGGTGAAGGAACTCTCCTACATGGCTCTTAGTGATGGCTGCTTTAGGACCTATTTCTCTTCTGGCATCTACCTGGAATACAGAAATATTAAATGAAATGTTAATTGTTTACAAAAGGGAAAAAGAAAGAGGCTTAGCAGGCCTATTATGAGAGAAAATTATGCTTTCAACCAGCATACACAATTTTTTTTTTAAAGAACATACATCTCTATTATGGTTGCTACAGAACCTGTGTTAAGGTAGGTTACTCAGGTGAAACTAGTAATTATATGCCAGTTATGTTAATGAAAATTAACTAGTTTAATCCAAATAACAACTCTTTTTTCTCTTTCGATCATACAGACTCATGAATAATTCAGGCAAAAATGTGTTAGGTCTGACAGCTCTTATTTAAGTACTGTAACATAAATGTGTATGGATGGCACTTAGGCTGGGGAAAAGAGATGTGAGAAAACTTTCACCTCAGCTTTCTTCATGCCATACTTACTCATTGTATTCTGTCTTTGCTTTTCTCTTGTGTCCCCCTTTTTTTCCCTTCAGCTTGTCTCTTTTCCCACAAAACAGCTCCAATCCCAGATAGCCACAAAAAAGCTGACAGGACCTTGTTACATAATCACGATATTTACTCTGTGTGTGTTTTCTCTTCCTTTTTCCTTCCTGGGTTTTTTATGTCTGTCTAGACCATAGGTACTTTAGGAGAGTGACTTTTTAGTCTTTGTGTAGTACCAGCTAAAAGGGAATCTCTTTCACTGGCCTTTAGATGCCACCACAGAAGATCTAAACTTTAAGTATAAACAGCATGCGACATCCTGCGATATTGTAACATATCAGCTGAGACCTTGAAACTCAGGGGAATCCTCATGAGGATCAGGTTGGGCCCCACAACTGGCTTTAATATTTGTGCTCAGTGGCTTTGGAGGAAACTGGATTGAAATGCTCAGCTCTATCACTTAGCTGCTGAAATGTCCTTATGATGGCTCTTGGGGGATCCAGCTGGGGGTCCTGAAGTGATATAATGGTATGAATATCAATGAAGTCACCTTTGAAAGACATATAGACTGGACGTTAGGAAGCATTTCTTTAGTGAGAAGGTGGTCAAACACTGGAACAGGCTTCCTACAGAGGTGGTCAATGCCCCAAGCCTGTTAGTGTTTAAGAGGCATTTGGACAATGCCCTTAATAATATGCTTTAACTTGGTCAGCCCTGAATTGGTCAGGCAGTTGGACTACATGGTCCCTTCCAACCAAAATAGAATACAGTCTATAGCCTAGAGTCTATTCCACCTCTTGCAGACATGTTACTGATATATGGAGAAAACAGTGTGTTCTGCAAGCCAACATTAAATTCTGGTGAAGCACCCTTTAGTTAGCTTCTCTGAGCAGTAGCATCAGTCAATCTGATGCCATCATAGCCCTGAAAGATGTACTCTATGTTAAGTACATCACAGGAGGATGGCTGTAAACCCCTGGAGGATGGCTGTGGTGACAGTGCTCTTCTTAGCACAGTTGGGCATTGCAGCAAAGCAACTTGTGAAAATGACAAGAGGTGATGCCACTTAACTATGATAAAAGAACAAATCAGTATGGTAGAAAAGACGACTAGCCTTTCTGTATGTCACTTTATCCTGACAACTGAACACAGGCTTGATCAGCTGCAGCAGAAGTCATGTGCTCTCCCTCAGAAAAAAGGAAGATATTGAGGTGACCAAGCAGTACTTAGTGAAATGAGGCAGTGCAAGACCTAAAGCAAGTTTCTCCAGCTGCTTCAGTTTGAAGAAGGATACACATTTAGAAAAGACTCAAAGCCATTTCAGTTTCCAGGATCCTCACAAGGGTAGCGGGAAAGAAAACAAGGGAAGGAAAGGCCAAAGAGACACCACATCATCAGGCTAACCACAAGCTCAAGAGGTGAGACACTGCGATAGCCTGGCTTGCAACTGTAAATTATGGCAGAAAGTTTTAGCAGTGTCCCCTCTTCTCAAATAGGGACTAGTGGAGCAGGAGAAGATTTGGTTTCTAACTGCCCAAACATGCTGAGAGTATTTTGCAAGGAATTGTAAGTTCAGTCAGCCTGAACTCCTCCCAGGAGAACTTTTTAGCTCATCCTCGGCTTTGAATTGTCTTGGAGCAGTGGCAGGGTTGACTTTCATCAGTTTAGAGGGCCAGCCTCTTACTGCACTGTATTTGATTCCCACCAGAAGGCTTAAGAGATGCACTGTGCAAAACCTCTTGGACAAATGTGCATTTCACCCTGCACATTCAAGGGAGAGGAGCATAACCTCTCTGTTAAGCTGTATTTTATGCCCACAAGAAATAGCAATGTGAAGACTGCATTACCTTCATCACTAAAAAGGAAATTTCTAGTATCTCCTTGTGCTATTGCATATAGTGAAGCCTAAGTATTTATTGAAGTGCACATGTTTTGGGTTCAACTTACATGCTCATGACTGCCAGAGCATCACATTCGCTTAAGGAACAGCTATACTGAGATTTAGAGAAAATCCTGCATCAAGCTATGCTACATTTAGCTACACATCATGTACAGTAAATGCTGCAGAATCTAAAGCTAGAAAATTTGTCGTAAGAGCATTCTGGGTGGTTTGTTTAAGTCAAAACTCTAGTCTTGCAAGCATTGTTTTATTTAAAATCAGAAGGGTTTTGACATGTAGTGTTAGTATGACAAAAATGTTCTGTGCTGATGTGAGCTGATTTGGGGAATTAGTTTTTGGGAGACGAAGAGGGAAAGGAATTGGTTGGTTTGGGAGATACATTCTTTTTGTGCCTCCAGTACCAGTATTAGCCAGGTCTGATACAGGACTGATGTCCACTTTGTCCACTTAACAAATGCATCTCAGAGTTCAGCATTTGAAGTTTGAGGCTGTTACCTTTTCCCTGTGAAAGGGTGCAACCTGTCTCTTGACTTGCCACTCTGGTTAACCTAATAAGATCTGCAGCTCTTTTAACCTAACTTTTCCCTCAAAAAGAAAGCAGAAGCAGCAGCAAATTCCTGTTGGTTCTGTTATATAGTCAATCTGCTCCGGAAGCAACTGCTGAGAAGCTCAGGAAAAAAGAAATCTTCCTACGTTTATTGACATTAAGTGCCTATAAAGTAGGACAAGATCTGGAGGAAGCCACTCCTTCTTCCAGACTATCTGAGAGCACAGTTAGTGTGACTGCTTGAACTACAAAGGGTGACTATCTACTTGATTAAGTTAAAACTGAATGTTTCAAAAACAAGTAAATCAACTGAAAAAGCAACTGAATCAGGAAATTATGCTTGCAAGGTGCAGATCCTCTGATTACACAAACCCATTACATTGAATACTTGGAAATCCTAATTTGTAAACAAAATCAAATGGATATGCTCAGGAGTACCTTTGATTAAGTGTTTTGCCTTACACTGGGTGATAAACATTGTGCCTGTTCAGACTTAATGGGCTGACTCCAACGCCATACTCCCTCTCAACAAGGATATTTGGGGGGCAGCAAGAGGAAAAAAATATCTATTCCTTTAAATCTAACAGAGACCTCTCATGCAATCCTACCACAGTCATATTATAATGATTTGCTCAGAATTCTGGCTGGAAAGTACCTCTTAGCAATTTATGTACTTTTATATACATAACATTGAAGGCTAAAAAAAAATCATCCACTTGGACTGCTCATAAATTAGCCATGTCACAGTTAATTCTGTAGTGATCCCAATAGCATATGGTGGATTAAAATACATCTCTCTTAAAAGCATCCAGCCATAATCAAAGTTATCAAGTGATGGAAAAGATATTTTTTTTTTGCTCAAAGATTAGCGTTGTCAAAATTGTGTCCTTACTTCCTAACTTGATATTTTTCTATCTTCTTCTAGCCAGTTTTGCTTTTCTCTGCAAGATTAAATAATCCTTTAGTGCTGCATATTTTCTCCCCATGAAGATATTTATATATTGTAGTCTATTTACTTCTCAGTATTCTTTCTCATAAAAGAAACAGATTGAGCTTTTAAGTGTTTTGCTATAAAGCATTTCTCTTCTCTTCCTCAAATCATTGCAACCTTCTTTTAATATCCTTTCCAATTTTTCAATTCCTGTTTTAAAACATGTGGAGAAAAGCTGTTACATGAATTAGTCTGATCAATGCTGTATACAGACATGAAGTCACATCTCTGCTTTGATTCAGCTCTTTGCCTCCTATTCCTATCAGACTATTA